TTAAACGTAACATTGCTGCTGTGATTTGGACAGGGAAGCAGAAGCTGAAGCAGATATTTCACTCTAATTCGCTGCCGTTCAAGGGTGCTGTTGACAGGAGATGGAGCCTGGCTTAGCGGAAGAGAAACAAGGTTAGGAATTTAGGAAGGCTGGATCCTATTCCTCCTTCCACCGCTGCTTGGCTGTCTAATCCTGGGCGAGTACATCCCCTCCGGGCATCTGGTTCCCCTCCCTCCCCGACACATCTATTTAAACTGCAAATTCAGAGGGGCAGTGACCATCTTGGTAATGACAAAGCATGTACAACATTCTGCGCTAATATTTCTATTAATAAATATTCCCACTGATATTAAGTAATAAAACAAAAACCATGATAGAAATTGAATGGTCAATGATGCATCGTTTTAAGGTATTTGGGTATAAAACATAAAAGGCAAACTCTCCCAAGTGGTAGCAGGCCAGAGGACACCTATGTTCTTTTCCTGCATATTTGGGCAATCCAATTAGAGGTAATTGAGTTTTTAACTACATGAAATTACTTCAAGAATACCATCTCTAGAGGCTAAGTCTCCTGGGAGGCTGGGGGAAGGGAGCAAAGAAACATTATAAAACCAGACGGAACAGAAAAGGGACGGGGCCTGCAGCCTGAAACGTGCTGAAGGGAGCACGCCGCTGAGCCAGTCTAAGGCATTCGTATTTTTTACAAACATGTAAATAGCTGGGCCGCAGACTCAAAGGTTTGCATGTTCCCAGTTCAATGAATTAAAGAGGGGTTAAATACATCCACACTTCCATGCGTTTTTAACCACAATGGTAACGTAAAGCACAAATCTACAAGCACCAAAAGGCTCCTACAGTCCTTTAAACACCAGAGACAGAAAAAAAAACTAAATTATTGTAATGAAATGAATTCTTGCTGCATTTGGACACTGCCATTCATGTGCGATGCATATGAGCACCTCTTCTACACGTTAAAGTTAGCTTCACGTTAAAGCCACCTCCCAGCCAGAAACGGTCACTATATTCACCAAGAAAGAGAAGAACGGTTCTATTGCCAGACCTTCGATTTGTTTTGCACACCCCGATAGGCCCTCAAAATGCTAGAAACGTCATTCATTTCTGACAACCTCTGCTCTTTTTGACAGCTACTAGAATCTAAAGTACAAGCATTGACAGGAAATGGTATTTTTAGCACTACTGCAATAATTAAGATTGCTACCGTTGCTTTTGTAGCTTTACACTGATTTGAGATTAGATTTAATAAGACTGTTTTAAATATTCGGATATGCTGAAAGCCTATTTCTTGATATGATGAGCATGATAAGCAGAAAACTCTGAAGCACTTTCTCCCCCCACTTAGAGGTAAATCAAACTGATTGATTAGGAAGGTATGCTTCGTGCACAGAAGATATAATTTACTGAAATAAAATTTAAAGGTTAATGAGCAGACTGCAAAGAAAAAACAGCTTCCACTTGAAAGGAGAAAAAAAAAAAAACAATTTAACAAAAGGAAAAGTGAAGGAGACCCTATCCCCATGAGCTAATTGTCTGTCTTGTGCTATAGGGGATGCTCTTGCTTAGCTTACGAGGCACTCCCTCCTCCCCCTGCACGCATGGGAACTCCACAGCCCTGGCAGAACACCTTACATCAGCCAACTTCCTTGAGCATTGCCCAGGAGACCAGAATGGGCATGCCTCTTGGTTCAGAAACCCAGAAACACGTCCAATTATCAGTCAGGCTGAAGAACATCTCCAACCAAGACCATCCCAGGAAACACACTCATGTTCAAGCTGGGAAAAAAAAAAAAAAAAAAAAGTGGATTGCCACAACAGGCATATTTTTATAGCCTTTGTGTAAACACAAGCACTGTATTAGCCAGCATCTCAGCTAGCTCTATCTGGATTCCCTTTTTTTGAAACACAATTAAGGAAAAACACCCACCAGAAAAGGTCAGTGGCCAAACTATTAGGAAAAAATAAAAGCACAGGGGAAGAACGTACATAATGATTCATTAAACATGTGCTGCCAAAACTTTAACAGTGAGCATAAAACAGACTTTTCACAGAAACTATACTTAATTTGCAGAACTGTTGAGCCAAACAGAGCATTCATTAGAATTGTATTTTTTAAGAAATTCTCAGTACTTCCCCTAGAGCTGCCCCCCCCCTCCCCCCGTAAGTGGTGTGAACCCCACGGCTTAGAGAGAAACAAAGCTACAGCAACTATGAAGAGCGTTGCCCTTGAAGGGCAGCGCAACAAAGGCTCTACCTATTGCAAGTGTACGCCTACGCAAAACGAATGGGCTGAGCATCTCAGGTTTGTAGATAAACACTCAACCTGGAAAATAAGCATGTCGTAAAGGGAGTGCCCAGGTGGGAATTCACCTTATGCTGTCACTATATACACTGTCACAGACCATCAACTACCCCAGATCGCGTACAATGAGCCGTACTGCTTTTTACAAAACTAACTCCATTCTAAGCCAAACAATTTGCATTCGACTACAGCAACTTTCCAGGATGCATCCCCATCCTAATCTGAAAACATCAAGAATTAGAGATTTCATTGCATTCCAGAGTCACTTTTAACAGTGAGGCCAACTAACCAGTGGAACATTGTGAACTTTAGGTCTTATTTGTTCCTTCAGTTCCTATTTGTTTAACTAAGGCTACTGGTTCTTGCTACGCTTACTGCTGCACTGTTCAGATTTGGCATGTTCTGTGTTAAGGAGATACTTACTGTAAATTGAGTCATATCTTAACCTTCTCTTAAACTAGAGGCAGAACGCAGTACGAAGCATATCTTTCTGCCTTTGAATGGACCTTTGTGGCTCCTCTTTCTGTTCTTTCTGATTTTTGCACTCAAAACGCGGTCAGCAGAACTCTTCAGTCCATGAGTCTTCCCAATACCGCATTCAGAAGGAAAAGTCCTTTCCTATTTATTGCTGCACTATTCACATACCAAAGCCCCCCCCAAACACACATGCTGTGGCCAAGGGTCAAATTGGTTTACTTACTTAGCTAAACTTCCAAATCCTCTTCACAGAGCCTGTTATTTACTCTATTTATAATTTTGCATTTAGCCATATCAAAACACATTTCATTCAAATAAGGCCAGCTTGTCAAAGTGGCCCTGTAAACTGCCAACCTGCAAGTCATCCATAGAAATTCAACATTTGCTTCCAAACACTGAACTGTGTCCTAGCAGAACACCCACAGAAATATTCCCATGCTGTAGTAACCAACTGCTTTAGAAATCACAAGTTAGCCAGTTAATTCATTTATTGTGCAGAATCTCAATATTGTTATTATTGTGTAATGTAATTTCTATGTAATTCTAAAAATCAATGTCATGTAATAACTAAATCAAGCACCCTATAAAGAAAACACGGAAACATTCATCTTTCTCAACAAAACCTGTAATTTTATCAGTATAAAATCTGTTTTGCTTGATGCAATCAGTTTTCCATAAATAGTAGTCACCAGCTTCAAATATTCCTATCCTTCATTGTTAACTGCACTTAATCCTAATTTTTTTTTAAGTTGTTCTTTTTTAACCTAGGACTAAGGTCAGTCAGGGGGAGATTTTTTGTTTGTCTGGGACTGAACAAATTAAATTAGTCATCACACTTTCTGAACACTGATAAAGTAACAATCAGTTATCTGGAGCATCCCCTAGTATTCCAAACGTTAAGATTTAAATGTCACGATGCTAGAAATCTCATCCAAGTCTTTCACCATTCCTGGATGAAGTTACTTAGGGCTGCAGATTTGAAATGTCCACTACCGCATACTGTGCTTCATGTACATTTACAAATGCATTAGAAAGTACTTCCATTGTACTCATCATGTAGCATAAGCTTATCATCTTCCTTTTCCCAGAAGAAAGGCCAACAGCTTTAAGAAACTCTGACAACATATTTGAACAGCAAGAAAAAGTACAGGCGCTCAGTTAGAATATTTTTTAAACAGAACAACGCACATTTTCTGCCCAATAGCTTTTCTACATAAAGAGAAAACGTCTTTCACAAAGCATATCAATCTCCCCCAGACTCTTAGATTTTAAAAGAAAAAGGAATAAGATACAGTTTCTGCTACAGGAAAACAAGAAAATCTGCACAACTTTGCAAAAGCTGACACTACTTTTGGAAAAATAAGCTGCAAATGCTTCAACATTGTGAACTCTCTGAGAGATAATGAACGCAGCACAGACATCCCTGACAAAATAGATTACTTGATGCAAAGGTTTTTCCTTTGCTGACTTCTTGGTTTGTTGAGGAGGGCGTAGAGCGTGTTGGTTATTTTCAAGACATGGTTTACCATTATCAATTCTAAAATACAAAGTCTAAAAAAAGTGCAGGGATTTAAAACAAAACAGGAAACCGGTTAGGTGCGAAAAAGATCAGTAACTCATGATCCCACCCTTAAAACCCCCCACAAAACTTTACATTTCCACACACAGGCTGATGCATACTTGTACCGTGTCGTGATAAAGAACAGGAATGCTGACAGATCTTTAGCTGTCACCGTAGCAGTAACATGTTTGCAAAAATACTTGTTGCTTCCTAGAGTCCAATAACAACGACAATAGCGTCCTTAACTACTCAGCACCATTTTCCAAATTGTCTGTCTCATACTCATAGATTACTGCACCACTTAAAGTAAATCTGAAGCAAGTGCAGCCTATTCTTGAACTCCCAAAATTTCAACTTCCAGAATTGGTATGCAAATGAGACAAAAATAATTCAAAGTACACCACAACTTGTCAGGTAGAGGTATAGCTTGTTTTTTGACAACTATGCAATGAAAATATTTCATATATTCCAACTAGCAGAATGATGAAATTCTTAGATTAATTCCTAATCACTTACTTAATTGGAAGAGAACAGTCTATTTCATATAATGTGCAACTCTGGTTTAAATAACCTCTAAATTTCATATGAGGAAATCCTCGGTCTTTTAGAAGACATTAAAAAAAAAAAGAAACAAGCAAGTCTTACCATTTTGATGCCAGTGGAAAACGTGACTGGTTTTACAGGTTTGGGTTTTTCCAGCTGCATTTCTAGCTGAGCAGATCTGTCCTTATGCTGAGCTAAAAGCAGTGAAGCAGGAAGACTGGAGCTCTCCTGTAAACATATCAGGAACAAATTTGAACTCTAAAACAAAACAAACATTAATTAACACCGCATACTCTTCAAAACTGCAAGCTGTGTCTGGAAGGCCGTCACTGGCAGAGCAGCGCAATGCTAAGTATCCTCTCAGAGACAGTTTACAGAAAACGATCATTTTCAGTAACAAGAAAAAGCTGCAGCAACCTCATAAATCAGAGTAACCTGCAAACAACCATTTTCATAGAATCCACATTAAGGACAATATAACAGCCTCCTTATTCCAACTGGCCAATGCAACTATATTTATTAAAATAAAAAAAAATTAGAACTTAATCAGAGAAGGAATAATACCAAGTAGTATAACTTGGATCAGATGTTTATCTAAGACACATTCTTTCTGCAAATGAACTCAGACCAGTTTGAAATTGTTTCCCATTAGATTTCACCTGAGGCCGTTTGGAAATGATCCTTGCTCTGCTTTGCACAATGGCACTATTGTAAGTGCAACCAACAGCATATTTATTTTCTCCTTCACCAGCTTATTTTTAGGGAAGCCAGCCAATTTTAAATATATATATATACGTGTGCGTGTGTATATATATATAAAAGTATATATATAAAAATATATAAATACATATATTTAAAAAGTAATAAAATGACTAGTTAAGCAAATGAACTACTTAAGCTCTCAGAACAGAATGATTATTAACATACATATGTAACTGCATTCTTGCGAGAGTCAGAAAATTATTGGCCAAGTAATTTTCTAATAAACTAATGTGACTATCCACATGCACACCAAAATCCTTGAGACTTCCTAGCTAGAACAACCGTAAAGTTGAGAGGAGGGAAGAAGTTCAGACGGATTCTTCCCCGACTGCGCTAGCACAGTATTTTATTCCTAAGGCCCTCAACCACCACGTATATTTCTGTTTCACGGAACCAAGCAAATACTGAACTGTGAACCATATTTGTTATGCACAAAACCAAAACAAACTTTAATAAATGGGGCTGTGATTTTTTTACTTATAACAGTTCAGGGTAAGAAGTTGGAAGTTTTTAATGCCGCAGATGCCTTGCTGTTCACTGTATCCTAGAGGAACCTTCTGAAGTGATCACAAAGAACAGTCATGTTGTACACTGACTTTTCACATCACTCTCCAGTCCTCTTTCCTCTCTAATTTCTGTTACGCTTACTTTGTCTTAGGACTAGATTGCAAGTGCTAAAAGCAGAAAAATCTCACACGACGAGATCTGGTCCAGAGTCACAAATACAACAACTAAGGCACGGGATCCTACTCACATTTCTGTGATTAACCGGGAGGAGGGGAGGCAAGAGGTTAAAAACCTAAACTGTAATAATAAGAGACATCTAATTTCTGTACAACCAGGAGAAAACTTGGACCATGCAACTTCGAAGTGTGGTACGTGTCTGTAACCACCACGCAGCAGCACGCGCTGCTAGCTGGCAGCAGAGTTTAAGGATGTTGGACTCTCTTACTCATCAGATTTAACATGCTGTGGGAGAAGGGAACAGGGTGAAGCGTTCTCTCGTGCATTTTGCCCTCTCATATTCCTTAAACGTTCACTGCATTTCTAATACAATAACTGAAGGAAGGCAATTTTTGTACCAACTTCTCAAGAGGTCGCACAATGACCGGTAACCGGATTACACAACTGTGGGAAACCCACGGCGTGCCAGCAAGCCACCACATCCGTGATTGTTTGTCCTTTCTAATACGCACATCGCCCTTCTGTTAACCAGTAACTCACATGAAAGGTCCAATCCTGTAAGCATTTATCCATACCAGCAATTTTCTGTATGGGGAAAACAAGCTGTCTAACAGTATGAACAAAGTCAGTCCTATGCAAAAATTCCTGAAAGATGTCTCAGAAACCCTGAGGTTCTGGTAAAAGCAGGGACACTTGATGTCTTTAAGGCACCTGGCCCTTTGCTCGACTCCAAGCTGTGCCACAGCCCAGGTAAAACCTGCCTCTTTGCCACGTGCTGCAATGCCTTTTTGCTCATGCCTGGGAAGCATGGCTCTTCAAGAGGAGAGTGCTAAGTCCCACAACACAGGCGACATCTAAGAGCAGATCCTCTGTATACAGGTGAGAGAGTTTATACAGTAAGTAAAGGAAGTGCCTTAATATTTTAATGAGCCCCGATTATCCAAGTCTAGAAGGTTAAAAAAAAAACCACACATACAACTCTTCCAATAATATGTAACATGCATTTGAGACTACAAGTCTAAACTACAACAAGGTGTTGTGCTTTTAAAGTGAGAGGTTTTATTGTAAAAGAGGTCACTTATAATGAAAGTAATATAAAATCTACCTAATTTAGTACTGGGAGGCAAAACAGGCAAGAGCCTAGGCAAAGCACCCGATTGCTTTTCCAGTAGCCCACAACGCCTTGCTCACCTTTCCACTGGCCTTCCCCTGCCTGCTCCCAGCAAAAGGACGGGTTTGTGGAGCCTCGGTCCCAGGTCGGGTCCTTTCCGCGTGACCCAGAGCTCCTCAGGCTGACCGGGAACCAGAGCCTGCTGCACGACATTTTAAATACCAAACATTTCTGCGCCTTTTTCCCTGCCTGGACTATCTAAACTATAAGCTCTTTGAAGATGGGACAGTATTCTTGTACCCTTTTGTAAACAACCGAGACCATTACTCAATATGATAACGCCATAGATAATACCTATAAGAAACTGTGAATCTCCTTAGTCATAAGGATTTAAGCACCAAAGGTAAAATTCTTTTTTTGGAAGAGGAAAGACCTGACATCTCTACCTGCACCACACAAAAGATCTGTCTTAAATTTTCTCTTCCTGCCAGCGTGGGGGTGGGGGGGGAAGTCCGAAAAAAATGACCAAGACCCAGGCCAAGTGGGCTGTAGGTTCCCAGCACCGGGCGATGCATCCAAAAGAGACGATTCAAAACCAACAGGTGAAATGTTGGCTTCCCACCATCCTCTACACTCACAATCCCGCCGCGTCAGTACTTTTGCCACTAATATCACTGTAGCCAGAACTTAATCCTTGTTGTTTCAGCACAGTACCAGCAACCATAGATGTAAGATTATTTTTTTAATGTAATTCTTTACACTGCTACTGCTTATGCTTGCTTTTGCCGCATTTCTCAGTTAAGTTTTACTTATGATCAGCTTCATTTTCAGATTTTCAGCACAGCATTAGAAGGATTTCAGAGACCATAGGAAATGTTTATTTGTTTAACAACTGCTGGTTTTCCAGAGACTTTCTAAGTCATTATACAAACACTTCAGTGCTGGTTTTATAAACCTTTAGTATTACAAAACAAGTTTTGGCTTAAATTTAAGTTGACAGTGCCCCTCCATAAACACAGACACAACTTAAAATTGCCCGATTTCCTTCCTTGGCCTTTAAAAATCACCTTTCTGTTGTTCTTAGAATATTAAGATATGTTTTAGTAGCAATACATATGCAATCACAGTTAAAACTACCTATTTTGGTCATGTTTTAAAGATTATTTATAACCATTCTTTCCTCAAGCCATCTGGTGAAGTAGGTTTCCAGTAAAACCAACTGCTGTGTTAAAAAAAAAAAAAAAAACCAACAACACTCCCCAAAAAAAACCCAAAACAAATACACCACCACTGGTCTCTAGTAAATTAAGAGTGTGTTTTAGAACAGGATTGAAATAAGTCAGAAAGCAGTTCAAAACCCCTATTCTGAGCCATTAAATTCAAGTTCATAGTGGAGTTTTTATTAACTGATCCACCACTCAAACTATTCCTAATTCTGTGGGTTGTAAGCACTTTTACCTTTAAAGTGAAGAGAGAGTGCTGGATGCAAAGTTACAGACTTGAGGGATTTTCAAGGAACATTTCTGCTCATCCCTGCCTTTGTCTACCAAAAATGAAACACCAGCTCCTTCCAGCAAAACCAATGACAGGTTGCCAGGACTCCTAGCTTAGGAAAAGGCAGCTCTTCAGGAGAGCCCCCAAAACTCCTAAATTGCACATCGATGCTCTCTCTTCATGTCAGTGCCTTCTGCACTGCTTCAAAGAGGAACTCTACTTTTCCAGGAAAAGCAGAAAAGCATCTGTATCTTGAATAAGAACTGAGAATACAAAGCAGGGAATTAATGCTGTATTAATGTGAGATAAACTGGAATACGAGAGAAATTCTGATTTAAATCTGCCAGGCAGCTTTAAACCACATTGACATAGCTGCACACATGTATGCATGCATATATACTTCTCCTTTTTTCTGATTTCCTTCAAGGTTACACATGGACTGTTCTCATGGGTGTTAGACCACATGAATGTGTGTGTGCATGCGTGGCTGTACACACATGTGTATTAAAAAAAATTGAGATTTGAATCTTGCTTAAATAATACATTTGAGCTTCTCTATGCCCACACATCATCATTGCATTTCAGATGCAGAATCAGTAGAAAATTCAGCCAAAGACAAGATTAACACAGTTTCCAGAAGTAGCCTGCATTTTTCTTCAGTTGTGTACGCACCCCTCGAATCCAAGCTTCGTTCACTTCAAAAGGAGCAACTCATACACAAAAAGTTCGCAGTAAAAGAACATGACACACTCAAGGCAAAAGATCTTTTCCTTTTAGTAGTTTTTGAATACAAAGGGACCACTTATCATTTAGGTGCTCCGACTCAAAAAGGGTCGACTAACGCTCAAATAATTCATGAGGTTGCTGTCCCCTGTTCTCCACCATCTCCTCATTGCAGAGGTGGCTGAGCTCATGAAGTAGCTCCTGATTACCATTTTGCTTCAAGACACCAGATTACCAACCAATATTCAGGACTGCTTAACAAGCCAACAGTGGCTTGTTAACAAGAGTTCACATTATGGCTGAACCAACTTAGTAGCTCCTCTCTAACCCCCCTCACAAATTGCATGATCAGCCATGCACCAAAGCGAATGCAACTGTCATCAGCTGAAGGCAAAGCAAGCAGGCAGTTACATGGCTGCAGAGACAACAACCTCACCCATCACACCTCAGGTTCAAGGTGGAGTAGTCACCATCTCAGCTATGCTAATGCAAGCCATCCTTGATCACAGCCAAAGCCTGTGGCTTTCATACTGTCAATAAATTAAGCAGAAATCCAGACTTTCATACTAGCTCTTCTTCAGATATGCAGTCAAATGTCAACTACTAAGTAAACTGGTAGAGTGGCTGGACTCACTAAAGCAGTTTCTGAAATATACTTCCATGTGCCAATTCACAACAAAAGAGCTTTTCAGTGGAAGCTCACTAGGAAAAGGAATGAACAACAAAAATCAAAACAGGTAGAACCAGGAAAATAGCCTTCTTCAAATACCCAAAAAACTTTCTGCATTATTCTTTGCTAGAACCTTATCCAGGATTAACTTTGTGTTGAAACAGTCAAGAATGGTTTCGCAGAATTAATTTCTAACCGGCACTGGACATTCTAGGACGAGTCCAATTAAGTCTATGAATCCCAGAAGCGCTCTTCCTTCAGTCCTTAGCTTACCAAAACCAGAACTGTTTGTAACATTGAAATGAATGATAGGCAAGAGAACAGTAACTCAAAACATGCAAGACAGGGAAACAGAAAGGGGCAGATGTGTTAATTCTACACAGTTAACCATGGTAGAGATGAATGTCAACGTACTTGCTGTTTGCTCTGCTACTGAGCATTCAAAGCCTCTGGTTTTTTACTCACCAGATCATCCAAGAGTGCCTGCTTATTCTTCCTTTTTATCATCTGCTGTAGTTGTTCTTCCTTCTGTATGAGCAGTCGCCTTTGTTCATTTTCCTGTCGCTCTACCTCTAAAGCTTCCTCCAGCTCTTCCTGCTCCCGCGTCTGAAATGGAAATTAGAAATGGACTTATAGCAATCTTCCTCCTTGGGTGGACAAAGCTCGCCCACAGCTCTACCAAAGGACCTAGGGCAGACCCTAGGTCTGCCTAGGCAGACCAAGCTTTTAAGGTAGAATTTCATGTAGAATTTTGAGGTGATGGTGATGATTCTACCTCCTCTTACTGTCCTGTGTAAAGTTCACTTTTTTTTCCTTGCTGCTCTCTGCAGTAACCATTCGGATCTTGGCTCTTTAAATGTTAGAGAATGACTACAGGTTTTCCTTACACCTTCACTCTAAAATGAAGGCACCCCTCTCTGCTCCCACACATGCTACTTCTCGAGTGATGTAAGTGGGTGACCAAAAATGTCATCCCACAACACTGTTTCTGATCGCCCCCATGATGAGCTGCATCTTGCGCGCAAAGTACGCTGTGTGCCTCTTAACAGTGGTGCAGAAGAAAAATAAGAAGTTACAAATCTGTGAATATTAACAGAGAAGCTTATAAGCTAAAACATATTTAAGCATGAACTGTAAAAAAGTCACATTCCCAGAAAATGAGGAATTTTTCCTGTAACTTGAAGTCATATGCCACAAGAGAAGAAAAGAAAGAAATAACTAGTACATAGTGACTAGTTTTTATTTCAGGATTTACTTCTTGAGAAGTGTTTTTTTTAACCTGTAAACTATTAAGTCATCTGTGTTTGAAAATCGTAGTGGAAGAAAAAAAGAGGAGGGCTCAAAGACAGGGGTGGGGAAAAGGATTGCAGCTAAGCAACTTTATACAGGAGAGGGAATCAAAAGAATGTTAGTTTGGTGGTAAGAAGGTATAGGACGATAACATACAGAAAATATTTTCCAGATCTTCCCCACCAAAAATACTAAAGCAAAGGGAGATTCAGTAAAAACGCAGAGATAATTAGAATTTTATAAAACTTAAATGGATGATCAATCCACAGAAGCAGTTTCAGCAAAACATTATTGCAGCCAAGAACTTAGTAAAAATCTGGGTTTGTAACAAAAAGACCTAAAGTTCTATCGTATAGTGATCTGACATATGCCAGAACAGGCTGAAAAACATCCCTTTACCACGCAGATCAAGCCAATGGGTCCCAGGGAAGCCCTGATTCCTGGACACAAGAGCTGACAGGTCTCATCACCTGCCACCAAGCCAACAGAAGTTGCTTTCATTTTGTCACTAGCAGCGACACTGGTAAAGAGCTGGTCACCGACCAGCGACCACCTGAAACTGGATTCTCTTTGCATTTAATGAAAGGAAACAAACAAACAAAAAAAATCCCCAAGTTGCTAATTGAGGTAATTTCTGAGAATTAAGGGATCTAGTTAGTTCAGTCAACAGAACTGAAGAGCTCAGGGTCTTTAAGACATTCCAAGCCTCTTCCACGTTTATCTACAAAGACTGCCTGGAATTTGCACTGAAACAGCAGAAAACTTGTAGGGAAGTGCTGACAGACCTAGTCTGAAGAACCAGGCCAGAAAAATTACAGTCAGAAATAAGTAACCTGATGTACAAACCTAAACCAGATCAGACTACAGGAAAAAGGAAGAATTATCACAAGTCAGATGAAATTCTTTCTGAAAAGAAGACCAAACAAAACAGTAAAACAGAAGACAAAGGAGCTCAGTAGGCAGTGAGGGCTGTGTCAAGCTTAAAGATAACCTAGACACAGCCCCAACATCTAAAGAAATAAAAATGATCATGGTGAAGCCTGGAGTAAACTCAAGCAGACAAGTGGAAGAAGTAAACAGAAAGTGTAATAATATTTCACCACATTCAAGAAAGGACAATCAAGAAAACTTAAACAAAACTTAAACACAGTCACATCACAGAGTTCAGACAAAACTATTTCAAGACTGAACAAAGCAGCGAGTGAAATTAAACATCTAGTAACAAAGCGGGAAGTAACAAGGCACCTTATGACTGAAGAATAGCAGACATTTAAGGAAAAAAGGCACATTTGGGAAAACTGTAGTCCGCTCAGAATGCAAGGTTATATGCTGACTGAACTAACCATAATAAAAATAAATTTGTTGTGACAAGAACTCCTTCTCCAAGAGTTGTTCGCTTTTTTATCCAAACCTGTGTACTTAGTTTTTTTCTGTGCATCCTGCATCAAATCCAGAGATATAATAGATGGGTTAGTACACGAGTAGCAGGATCACGAGGAACTGGCTACAAAGATGAAAAATATGGCTTGCCTTGACAGAACAACAGGCAGTTACTCAAACCCTGAGGTGACAGGTTCAATAACTTAATATTTTGATTTGTAAGAAAGAATGACAGACTCATGAGGACAGAGGTGAGAAGAAAATAACTTACAAGACCATGTATTTGGAGACATTAATTCATCAGTTAGAAACCAAAGAGGACAAAACATGATGCACTACTTGATCACTACCGATTTTGAACTTCCCAAATGACAGTGCTACAAGAGAAGAACAGTCTTAGGATCAGGCATCTCAACGTGGAAAACCAGCCATCTTTTATAAGAGGCTGTTAAGATCTCTGCTACAATACTGCATTCAATTCTGGTCCCTTCTGCTTGCCAAACACAAATTGAAACTGGAGAATATCTCTATTCCTCAGGAGCAAACTGTTGAAGTGGACAGAAAAATTTATGTCGGTTCAAGAACGAAGGGACAATGACTGGCCATAAGAAGCCTAGGTGAGAAATTAGGACACCTTTTACCATTTAAGGAATAAAGACATTCCAAAACCTGCCAAAAAGAGCTAGAGAGAGAAAGCACCCTTTCAGCTTTTGGGAGAGTGGTAAATTTATGGGCAAGATCACGCAGTTTTTGTAATGGCAACTGCGTCAAGTCTATTATTATGTTTCAATTGTTGAAAAAGAAATGTTGAATGCTTCAAATGTTGAAACAGAAATAAAAAAAATGTCTCCAGATCTCCAGTAAGTTTGGATTCACGCAACCTTGTCCAGCGTCCACCAGAGAGCCTCTAGCACAGCAAGACCATACAGTACAGAAAACAGAAGGCCCAGGGGGCTTGGGTGGGTACCGAGTATTTCTGTGCTGCTTGATGTGATCACGCAGCTTGTGCGCAGGCTGCCTGAGAGTCACGTACATGAACGGACGGTGGGCTGCAGGCAAAGCACGCTGTTCTCATGGTGACCCTAGAGGTTGCACCTACATTGTAAAATAAGACATGTAGCCAAAGATTTGGCAGGTCTCTTCAAGCTCTGCAGCATAGGATATTGCACAGTGTCAGAGACAGGATAACAGATCAGAGATGGACCCCTAGGGAAATTTCCTTGCCTTTAAAAGGAAGAGGTTCAAACAAACATTTTTCAGATTCCAGTCTCCTCCTGTGAAATCCTAGAGCTAAAGAAATCACTGGGAGTTTTGCCACAGACTTCAGGGGAGTGAGGATTTCACCCCTACTGATTTGAAAGCAAGTCCTTAGTGCAACTGGAATACAAACACAAAACCTTGTCATGTCACGCTCTGGGCAGACATTTTCCTTCAAGAACCGATAACAATGTGTATTTTTATACTGAAAAAATATTTAACAGATTAAACTTTTCTTACAGAAAGAAATGCTTACAAGTTTATTTTTAAAGAACAAAATTCTATCTGAGCTGTATTTTAAATTAATAAACCTTCGAAGAACCATGCATTTTGCATACAGATTATGTATACAATACTCCTGATGTTATTGTTATCAGCTTTTGAACAAAAGTTTTAATGTTTGTTTCAACATCTTTCATTTTAAATCTTGCATAAACCAGACCTATGCTTTCCCTCAATTTTACATCTCTCTCCTGGGAACTTCATAATGTCTGTGTCTGGATTCCTTTTTTCCTTTGGATGAGAAAGGAATGATTGTCCTGGTATAGGAATGGACTTGGTCTCTCTTGGATATTGTCCAATGACACTGCCAGCACGCATGCGGTGGTGATGTATTATATGCAGACTTCACTGCCTGTCCCTCTTTTTAAGCCCTTCCCAAAATAAAGCATAACTACATTTCAACTACCAATTTAATCTCTTTAAGCAGCACTAAATATCAGTATTGCAGAACGTAAGCATATTATGGTTTTTGAATACAAAGTGAAATCTGCATAGTGCCTTCAGCTTTGACTTGGTTTTAAGATATTACAGAAAGCACTCCACTTTGAAAATCCTTTAATTCTTTAACTAATGAATAAAAATTGCAGGGGAGAGTAGAAGTTAACTAACCAGTTTTATCTTATTTTTCTGAATGACTTCTTTGTTATCCTTCTGATACAGCTCCATTTTCCTTTTGGTGTTCTCCAAATCCACATTGTTGGTCAAGTTAAATACTGCATGAATATTAGAAAGACAGAAAGTAAAAGTATTAGGTTGGCACGCATGACTATGACAAAGAAATACTACTCTTATGTTCTCTACCCCTTTTAGCACCAGACACAAACATCGCAATAAGAGAATTTATTTAAATATGCCCTGTCAAGCAAGACACAATCTGCTAAATCACTGCAAACTTCAGCAGAAGCCAGCAGAGTTCCTTTAGGTTTACACATCTGTAGGAGATGAATATTTGATTTTTGCATCCTATTTTGTGATATTGATAATGATACATATGAATAATCATAATATTATTCATAAAACATTGACTTTTCAAGTAGCAGTTACAGCTAAGAACACAGTGATTCCTATAAAATTAGACTAAACACATACATATTAAGATAACGTTAGAAATTAAATCATTCCATTTCATAAGAGTATCTAATGCACAGACTGTTCAAATTCTCAGGTACACAAAAAATTTTCACATCATTTGATAACTTAAAAGGCACCAATGTACAATTACCTTTATTATGAGGAATCTGCAAATGCATCCAGATTAATAGGTTACGTGACATTCTTTTGATGTCTCTCGATGGTGACAGACTATATCTCACGTAATTGTGAGCAAGCAGCATCGGCCAGCAAGCTCCATAGTTTAGCACAACATTCCCAATTATTTACACATGGCATGGAAGATACCTCAAGAAATTGAACAGTTTCTATAATCAACAGCTTGAAAGATGTAGACCCTTTGGATGATTAGTAATTTGATACAATGCCTGAGCCTTTCACCTCTAGGTCACTGGTTCAATTGTGGGTCAAGGGAATTCCAACTGAAAGCCATTATCAGTGGGAAGTCGCTTGGTGATCACCATCCAGAGTGGATGCTGGGCTCATGCCCATGGCCTTAAAGCTATTGAAGATTGCCAACATACAGTGCTCAAAGCCTCGAAGACCTTTGTCACATGGCTACAGTAAATTCACAAGAGCAGCAGAGAAATTTGCACTGCCATTGATAAATCCTTCGCAAGAAAACAGCAGCATAGCGATTGCACTAAGTCAGACCCTGAGGAGGGGAAGGAGGTTCTAGTGGAAATGCCAGCACGGGACTTGGAAGGTTTTGGTTCAGTTCTCTCTTCCTAAGTTCTGAAGCGACTAGGGCCAAGTGAATCCTGGGCACATGCACTGCTGCCAAGTCATTTGTCTAAGTGATGATGCTAGAGAGAAAGAGAAGGAAGAAGCATGAAGTCTGTTGTCACTCATCAGGATGGCACACATCTCAGTTTGGTAAAGATTATATCCCTTCTTTCATCCTCGCCACAGGTAACAAGGCAAAAAATGAGCTTTAAGGAGGGTTTTAGGTAAACCAAACCATGAACAGCCTAGACTGGCAAACCAGCTGAGAGCAGCAAAGGAAACAGCAAGAAATCCAAGCTGGGAGCAAATGTGGGTGGGGGGAGAAAACAGGGAAGGTCCAAAATGCTAGAGTTGTGGGATACAGCTCAGCTCTACAAACCCAGCTGTAGAGCAGCCCACTACTGCCCAAAAGGGTCAGTCCTGCTCTCACATCCCTCTTCCCAGGCACAGGCACTGTGCTCTGACTTCAGGGCTCCCTGGATGCTTTGCAGTGTCAACAGAAACCCTCCAGTAACTTGAACGGGCTCAAAAAAGGGGCCAGACACATGCCAGAGATGGTACAAGGAAGTAATAAAAGTGTAGAGATGAGAATAGGAATACTCTCTTTCCAGGAGTACTGAACCACCACATCATCTTACTCTTATCAAAAGTATTCGGTCCTTCCTTGAACTGCAATAAAAAGGGCTAGGCAAGATACAGCTGAAGAAATTCCTAACCTTAAGCAAACAAACAAAATGCTCATTTATTTTCTGCTCCTCTTTTCCAAATAATAAGCAATATCAAGAGGACTGACATTCTGATTCAGCCTGGCTCTTAAGTCATCTGAACTCTTCCACGCCCACCCCAGCATCCTCACTTCAGAAGGAAGATTAGAGATGGAGGTTGGTTTTGTGGTTTGATTGGGAATCAACGCCTGAGTTCAATTTCCAACTTTGCTACTGCTCCTGGGCAGATCACTAGGCCTCTGTACTGGAGGTCTCCCACCAGTAAGAACCAGGAGTAGAGGAACAAAGCTTCCTTTCTCCTATACATCATCTGCTGTATCTCCGTACTATAGCTATATGTGGCACCTATCTCTAGTCTTGATCTCATCTCAGGTGGTACCTCTAGGCACTGCTATAACCCAAACAAGGCATTCAAAGTTCAGCTCCTTGGTTTTTGGAAGCAAATTACCCATTTCAAATGTATTTATTTTTTTCTCTCCAAAAGGCAAAACAATATTTTCCAATTTCATACTGCAACAAACTTATACTTTCTGGTTGTAGCAACATTTCCTCAGTAAAACACATTAGTCTAAGTTTTTAGTATTTTAATGGCGATTTGACCTCCAAATTTCCAGCCTACAGTTCCCTGCTGACAAGCAGCTTAATATTTGAGTATTACGGCAGAGAAGAATTGTCATGTGAAAATGCTGGCATACAATCAGACCAAGGCCCTGCAATGACAGCAGCTGCATGGGAATGTCAGCACTTCCTACAACTTAAATCCACACACCAGCTCTCTAAACTCTTCAATGACGACACAAGAAAGAAATAGCATATGAGACATGCTGTGCTAGCAGGATGCCCAGATGCCACCTTCAGGTGCAAGAGGAGGAGCAAGATGAGACGCCAAATGCCTTTAGGCTCCTGAACATCTTGGGTGTTTCTCTAAAAATAATGCAGCAATAAGCTGATGATCTAGGTTTTGCAACTATTGCTGCTTGAAAGGTTCAGGGTTGGGGTTTTTTTTTTTTCCTCCTTTCTCAGTTACCTTTAATAGGTTCAACTAGTCACAGCCTAGGTTTGTAAAACAAAACCTGTAAGATTTAAAACTCATACTGGGGAAAGCAGGCAAATTTTAGACATATGCAGATGCCTGACTTTATTTAGAACTACTTACAAAAGCTGGTTTATTTTGCTACTTGATATGAAGTAACATTTCCATGCGAGAGATCTGTTTCTGCATCAATGTTTAAGAAATCTTCAATATCCACCTGCATAGCCACCTTGAATGCCCACTGCTCTGCTCGCAGGTGAAAGATGGTTTATTTCCCCTTCTGTTTTCCTGCTGTGGCTGGAACCAAACCACAGGTAAAACCTTTTCAACGGTCAGATCTGCTCATACCATGCCGATTCTGCTGTCAGTCTTGCTCTACTCTGTCACTTGAGGATACGGTAGGACACCAGCAATCAAAAGATTCATACTTCCAGCACCCTCAAAGGCCAGAGCAGATTTCTCCCACTGAATATTGATTCATAGTCATTGAAGAGGAACATTCTCTTGGTCCTAAGCATCTGCTCCTCAACACTAAGTTGAGCAGACATTTCAAGACCTAAAATACTGAAGAGCTACATTTTGTTGCCACAGTGTTAAGACCTGGATGTCTCTATATCAACATCAGTGTCAACAGTTGACCTTTAATAAATTAAAAGAATATCTTGCCTCCTACAGTAAACACCCTAGCAGCAAAACAAACTATGGTCTTTGACACTGCATGGTTATCAGTGGCCAACCACCCAGCCAAAACATCTTCCAACATATTTTCTAATATATTTTTCATGAGCTTCAAATGTCTTTTCATCAATATTCAGAGAATACAAATTCTTGCCATTGTATCCTCCCAATTACAAAATGGACTTGTCAGTTCTAAGGGGCACTAGGCCACAAAAAAAAAAAAAATGAAGAGTATTTCTTTCTCTTCTCCCGTGTCCCCTCCACAAGTTACTTGGCATCTAAAAAAACCAACAAGTGTCAAATCAAAGAACACAGTCACTAATACTCAGCATCTTACCTTTTACATAGCTAGGACTATGTAGTATTTTTTTAAATTTGGTCTGCTTTGAGTTTTGCCAGAAATTTATTTTAAATATAATTCTTCCAAATGTTCCCTTCTTAAAAAAATACAACAAAACAAATTATAAAAGTAGAAGAACCAGAAAGAGTTAAGAAAACCTAACTCATATGCTACACCTACCCTGAAAAAATATTGGTATAGATCCGAATATGACTGGCAGATGGCTAGTTTGAAAAGGTTTCAAAAGACAAGCCAGACTTATTTTTGTCCATGTTGAAATATAGCATAAGCCGATATAAGAGGCCTGAAACCCTTCAGGGAAAAGAAACAGAAGCTGTTTTGTATGCAACAATTCTTTATCTACTTATCCATCTCACATTGGTGGGTTTATAAAATGACTCGCCTTGAGACATCTGTTGAAGTATAACAGGAAGACTATTGTGTTTTTCTGAAACATTTCATTCTATTTAGGTAAAACTCCCTACTTCTGAAATTCAGCCTCTACAGGGAGACTTTCACTGCTTTTCAAAACAACAACATTCATTACGCAATTGTACAACAAATGGAAAAATATTTTCCTAGTTATAAAAGAAAAAAGAAAATGAGACAAAAATTTTCATTATATGGCACAACAACTTGTCCAGAGACACAGCACTATGAATGAATGTCACTCCACTGCAGGACTTGAAGTCCATCAAAATCTCCCTGGTTTAGTCTGAGATACTGCAAATTTTGAGACCTCTCCTCCTAGTTCCTTAAAAGACAGTAGTGTTACCACGTAAAAATATTTGCTATTCAACTATTAGGAACATTCCCTCTCTGGCAAGACAGCAGATGATTACTCTGATGACAATGTTTGATCTGCATTGCTGGTATGAGCCCGCTGAAAATTTTTAACTTAGTAAGTATTAGTTTGCTATAAACAATATCCCTCCCACCCTGCTACAAACAACTCCTTGATCATCATCTTCATAAATCACCAGCTAGAGACCAGGAATGGCAGAAGAGCGACTGCTTCGGGCAGAGCGCTATGAAGGGAGAGACAACCGCATCCTCAGCCCGGCCAGGGAGTCCAAAGCTACTGTGGCACCTTCTGTTGGTACTTTCAATGCCCGCGCCAGCCTCTGCCCCCGTACTTTTAAGAGGGGTAGGAGCAGGGCGAGGGGGAGAAAAGATGGAATAGATCTTAACAGGTCCCTTCCAAGCAACATTTCTGTGATTATAACAAAATAATTATCAGAAACAAAAGAAAACCCACAGCTACGCCAGAAAAAAAATCTAGTTAGGTATTAATAATTATTTCTGTTTATCCTCAGTTGTCTCTTATTGGGAGAATAATTTTCCAGAAAAATATCTTAGCATAGTAATAAATGATTGAAATCGCTCAGCCCCATCGGTCCAAGAAAGATCATTTTGGGTGGAACAGTGTGATACTGAAAATTTGTTCAGATGAGATGACTGAAATGGATCTTTGATAAAGCTGCCCAATTTCCAGTTGGGTTATTCCCATTGTCAGGATCAGCAATACCATCCTCACGCACACACACAGAGGAAAAAAACCACAAAACAATAAACAACACAACCCACAAGCGATCACAGATACCAAAATCCTTTCTATCCAGAGATGACTTGTGAGATAAACATTCTGAGCGAGGCAAGTCACCAGGCAGCTGGTATTGCATAAAGTCTTAGAGGAGTAACGAGATACAGGAATCCGAAGGGCACAAATAAAGTCGTCTTCTTCCAAGTCGAATGTACTGAATGTTTTTAAAAAGCAATAATTACTATTAACAATTATGTTGCGGTAATGCCTAGAGGCCTCATTCAGGTATCAGGAGAACAGTGCCAGGCAGTGTGTATACACATGCTAAGAGGCGGGCCCTGCTCTGGAGAGCTTACACACCGGGTTTTGAAACACTCCCTACAGAGATACTCTAGGGAAGAAGAAAATCTTGGGGGAAGAAGAAAACCTTGTAGAAAGAGTGAACAAAATTTGCATGACGTCCAGAGATTGTAACCTGTAGCAACACTGTAAGCTTTAACCTTGCCCCTCTCGTCACAGGAGCGTAGACCTGACTTACTCCAATAGATGTTGTCCGTGCTTTTCCCAAAGGCAGGTTTTAACCCTTTCACTTTATTTTTCTTCCTAGTGTTAATGACAAACTGTGTTTACAATGTTCTCAAATTGTCCAACTGATTTTTCTTCTCGGGAAAACCTGCTTTAAAATGTGGTTTCTATTTAAAACCTTGTATAACGCATTTTAGCCCAAAGCATTATTTAGTGGCTACGTTCTAAACCACTTCAAAAATGTGTTTTTTATAAAAGAAATCTTAAGAGGTGATTACCCTTATGTTTGTTTGACTTTCCCCTCTCACACTTTTGCTGTACCACCCAACTCTTTTCTTTAAATAGAAAAAGTCTGTAGGTATAACAATCCTGATATGAAGGGGGAAAATGTGTTTCAAGTGAGGTCATATATCACATCAACGGAGTAAGGCAGTGCAATTGCTGCAAATGTTGGAGCTGACCTACCTGAAACATTTGGAAAAAACTGTCAGAATTGTGCCAGGATCACATGAGGTATACTTCTACAGGGTGTTTACATTTTGTGTCTGCCAAGCAACTACTTCATTTAATCCTCCACAACTTAGAAAACAAAACTTACCAGCAAAAAGAAAACAGGGTAAAGCCGCACTTTGACCCTCCCACAGAAAAACTGAAAATTTGGGGTGGATGGAGAAAGGGGAAATCCAGTTCTCTGGCCCCCTGGGCTTCCTAGCCTGGCAGCTTGAACAACTACCACCAGCTACTGCCAGGCTGCTGTACATCGGCCCCACAAGGCAAAACTTTGCTCTGCATGACTACACCCTTTCTTTCCCTTCTTGCAGCCTAGTTTTTCCACATGCACAAGCGAACAGGGAATACACATACACAAAAGAAATAACTACTCTCAGCAGTAAAATGTGAAGTAACCAGAGTTGAAGACTCCTTTAACACGTTGTTCAGCCATGCCACACACAACATGCACAGCAAAAACACTGGAAGAAGTCACACTACCGCTACGTACCGGCCAACGGTCAGGCGGAGACCTCTGCCCAGGAGTGCAGGCAGGGAAGGGCTTGGGGAGATGGGAACTATCTACTAAGTTTGAAAGCAAGATGTGTGCAAGGAGCTTTGTCACCAGGGAAAGGAGAACAGGGCTTGAATTCTTACCCAAGGTGTTGTTCTTGAATCTAACCAGCCCTCCAGCTTCTGGATCTGCCTAAAGTTAGTAGATCATAAATGACCCCTTTGATGGTAAAAATTAAAAGCCTTCTGACTGCACTCCTCCTTTCCTCTTACCACCCTGGCTGCTACATGAAGAAATTAGGAGGTAGTCGTACTTTCTATTCCTTTTAGTATTTTAGGTGTCCCTTTTGGGCAACTAACTCCAATTCCTAACAACTATCTATTGAGCTTCGACATCATATGTTTGCAGGACCAGCACAATTACAAATTCACTCTTCTTCACAATGTTATGACGACCAGCCATGAACTCTGCTGCTTCTAAACCAAGTTACCAGTGCAGGCTCTGGAACCATCTGAAATTTAACAACCTAATCCCAAGAGCTGGAGAATCACAAGATTCTGCAGAAATTGATGAGATTCAGGCAACTTCAGCTCCCTTGTTGCAGATCCCAAAAAACCCCGTAACAGCAGTAAGTAGGAAACCTGTATTTAATGCTACATAAATAAAAAGCAGTTTCCTTTCCATGAGCACCTAGATTCTTCCAGGATCCTCTGGCTAAGATGCAACCATTCTTTCTACTCATTCCCTCCTTCCCCCGCACCATCCAAAAAATATACAAACAGAACTACACCCACATCGTCTCCTCCAGATATTTGGACCCTTATGAGTGTGCCTGGTGTTTCCCAGCCACACAATTTAGCTCTCCAGCCTCAGCTTCCTAATGCCAACAAAAACATGATACATTACTCACAGCAGTAAGTGTACTGGATAAATTTCTACAAAACACCACAGTGCTTTGTAGCTCAAAAGAGGAGCTCCTTTGAGAAACCAAAGGGGAGCAGCGTCTCCATGTTTTCCTTCAAATCACATTGACTGCCCCTCCTGCATGTTCTAAGCCACCTCTACTTCCTCCGGAACAAAAAAGAAAAGCCTCGGAAGCTCATAAAACCCAAGAAACAAACCATTTAGGAGTCACTCCTTTGAACACATCCTTGTTTTTCTAAGCAAAATCCATCACTCCGCCGTAAATCGCAAGTCACCCTAACTGAGAAGAAAGTAAACTCAGTTGATAACATAGTGCCTTCCCAAAGGGCAAAGTTCCGCTTCAACTAATCCAAAGAGAAAGAAATCAATGTCTCTTCCTAAACCTTCTCCATCTGCAAAACAACATAAAATGCTACTACAGTGGTATGTAAGGTCATCAGCTTCAAAGCAGCTTCAACTACTGTACTTGCAGAAGCAAAAATGATGAAAGACACCATATGGCTTCTGTCATGGTAGATAAAGCTAATGGAGGCATATAATGAAAATTTCAATTTCTCCTCTCTTTGTTTAATCTTTCCCAGTGCAGCACCAACAATCCCCTGCAAGCCTCTCTTTTCCAGCAGTAAAGCACTACTTCCTCTTTGAATCATGTTTTTTCTCTGGCAGATAAAATGTTTTACTTAACAATGTAATACAGTTCAGCAAATATGATTAAAAATGTACAGAAAAAGTAATTAGATAAACATCTGATACTATGATAAATCCTATTACAGAAACTCAACTTACAGATTCTCATAGGCAGCTGAGTCAGAAGATAAAAGCCTATGGTCTCATGAGCACAGCACATGAAAAATGCAAGCATTAAGACTTACCAATTTCTTCTATTTCTTCCAGGAAATCATTATATTCACTTAGACTGGGAAAGTCATCCTCTCTTTTATTGTATCTTTGAGAGAAGAGAAACAAGTATTTATATAACATACAAAGATGCAATTTCAATTCAACAAGGCTCTTGCTGCAAGCGTATTAAGTATTGACCTAGTTTTATCAACTATGTGCTTTGTGGCTCCCACGACTGATCAACGTACAGAATCTTTAAAAGGAGACTTTTAAAGATCTTTAAAAGCGCTTGTTTCAAAGGAAAGGAGCCAGCCTAGCATAAATCGGTGCTATCTTTGCCTACTGTTTGCCGATTCCTTTTCCAGAGTTACAGGTAAACAGGAGCACAGAGGCTAGGATATACTAATTCCAAGCCAGCCCTTCAGCATGAGAAACCTGTTAAAGGCAGAGACAACAGTAACGCCCACAAGAAAAGCTTTTCTAGAAGTTATCAGAAAAGGGAGTTTGGCTTCGTGCCAACAACAGAAAGCACGTCAGCAGCAAAATGAAACTGCTACACAATTATCTTATTTCATATCAATAGACCATTCCAGAACTCATTTATCCAACTCTTGATAGCTGGAAAAAGTAAAAAAGTTGAAGGGACAACTGGCTAGAATGTGGAAAGCCTCTGAAAGTCAAGACATACAGGCCTTCTTCTCAAGAAAATATAAAGCTGAGATTCTGCCTACTCTGTGGACCAAGACACATGACAGCCAGGAGTATAAAAATCCAATCCCGAGAACTTGGGCCAAATTCGAATTTGGGGACATTTTTTCTGCCTACCAAAAACTAATCTGGCAAATCCAAGTCGGCCAAGCATTTTACAATGTCCTCTGTTCTAACTGTACTTCGTCCTGTGTTTAGTCAACTAAGTTGACTTCATTCCAGTTTGACTTTTGTTAACTTCAGTAGACTTTATAATCGAACACAAAATTATTACTACTTTCCACATCAGCATCTTGGTATTCAACGACGCAATTCACCCACATCTCAGCAACATCATATGATTCATTTAGTACTCTACTAAGTCTTAGGTAAAGGCTGCCAAGCTTATTTACCTGTACATTCATTTTTGCACACACAACTCCCTCCAGCTTTGTTACGTTCCATCAGACCCTCTTCTACCAAAACATCAACTGGCTCACTTACTTTCTTTAAAAAATATTGTTTCTTGGCCACAAGGAGTGAGATGCAATTTTAGACCTCATTTATCTCAGTTCCAAAAGCTCTCAAATCTGCGTGACAGACTAGTAACACAAGGCTTGTAAGGAAGCATTTCCACTAACAATTGCTGTGTGAAGTAGAAAATAATGTGAACATAGCTTCTCTTTTGTCCATATTCATTTTGGGGGGAACTGGCCTCCAACTCTCAGAGCAGGTCCCCTGGGAACAAAACAATCAAGGTCCTGTCTCTTGCCCCACTCCCATGTTCACCCCCTCAAAGGGAAAGCAGCTGTAGTCCTCAACATCTAATCATCTCCATTCAGGAGGCAAGCCTTTGCCAAAGGAGGCCACATAGAAACACCCAACATTTTCTAATGCTAAGCGGGAATCCCTCAAGGCTAAATTGAGAATTCAGCCCTCGGTTGCTGCATAAAATCAGTGTCTTTGAAATTCCTCCACATTAAATGGAGTCAAGTTTTATGGGTTGTCATTTTAAAACAAAAAAATTCTCTCCTCTGTACTAATGGAGGAATAAGTCATTTTTTTTTAAATGGTGATCCATGAAATATATCCATCTTCTGTTATTTAACTGGTGACACTCACATTTTCAGCACTTTCTTCCGAATTTCCACTTCCTTGTCGACAGCGGGATCCTCAAAGAGCTGTACCCTGAAGTTACTCTTCCGCAGGGGGGTATCGCACTCCTGGCAATTCCCAGCCCCTCTCACAAACAGCAGTTCCACACAGCTCTCGCATCTGCAGGAGGGAGGAAGGGGTATAAAGGCAGATAGACATTAAACAGTAACTGAAACACAGGACTGTCCCCCTCTTTTGTTTTTGCCCCCCCCCCCAAATACACAGCGCATCTCCCCTTGATTTCACTATTTCTTCAGCACCCAACAGTGGCAAGGAGGCAAGGGCTCTCCACCATGGCCTAAAGGACACAATCTGAGCAGCACAAATGCATTTATTCTCCCTGCCCAAACAACTCAGCCTCTTTGCTGAGACTGAAAGTTCATCTAAATGCAATGATGGGTTTTGTGTCAAGGGGAAGCTCGTTTACTGACACCATCAAACTCATTTTGTGTGGACCAGACTGCAATATCCTTATTTACTCTGAGCACTACCCTGCTGCACAGAAAACCCCGTATATTTTCTTGATGCCATTCACGGTGCAAGGTACTATTCAGCACAAGCAGGATCTTGCCCGCAGCCTTCCAAGCATCCTCCAGTACTACCACGGAGGAACCGCTATGAAACCTGAGCTAAACTCCAGCCCAACACAGCTATAAGAATCGAAATATCACTTCAACCAGCAACCAGCATTATGCAGCTCTCCTGTGCCTTCTGTTAATACTTTTAAAATTGGACATAAAATTTACTTTACACAGAGGCTGCACAGAAATAAACCAGAAATACCTTTCTGGTTTTATTTCTTTTGTCTTAATGAAGATTTCAGATTTTTAACAAGACACTTGCTGACCAGTCAGCTGGCATTTCATAAAGGAAGAACACACAACAAGTAAGCCAATTTTTTAAAAAATAACTAGTTTTGGCTACTAATAATGTGCAAATTTCTAGCCGAGGACAACACCTGCTGCAGTCATTTCCTACTGCTGGGGAGGCAAGGGGATGCCTATTTATAGATTTGCTATATCGAAGCCAAACCAGTTGTACATTAAGGCCTAAGCTGTATTGTACCTTCACGAACTCAGCACAAAAGCTAAACAAGTGAAGAGAAACAATACTGACTTGGTTGCAAAGAATCTTAAACAAAACTTTCACTCTGCTGACCTACCCCCAACTAAACTGGTTCCAGTACTTACAGAGGCAGAGCTGGCTAGAGCCAACCAGTTTTACCCAGCTTCTGTTTTCAAGATTAGAAAGTGCAAAACAAATGCAATTGTATCTTACAATTAAAAAAAAAAAATTGAAGCAATTTTTTTTTGTTAACACAAGTAGAACTACAGTTTCAAAATGCATCTTGCACAGCAGCTGCCAACGTTAAAAAGCAAACCTTGAATTTACTTGGACGTTTTCCTGCTCCGGATGCCCTCTAGTTAGAAAACGAAGCGCATTTAAACACAATTTATCTGGGAAGGGAAAAGATCAAACCTTTTAGCACACTAGGCCTGAAATTCAGAAGTTACTGGGACATCAACTCAAGAAGTACGCTTCTTTATGACAAGACTTCAGGTCCCTGCTATGGCAGAAGGAACACTAAAGGCACGAGCGAAGGCAAGGCAGGGAAAGGGTTTTCTCCTTCCTCCCCCAACCTGCCTGTGCATGCATCAGCCCAGTACGTAAGGACAGTTTCACCGTCTCCTTCGCTTTGGCAGCTCGTGCTGTTTGTACATCTCTCTCAACACAGCAACCGAAGCACAGCAAAAAAAACCTGCCTCCTCTTTCCTATTTTTAAGTGATAGAAAAGGGAGTGTAAAGCTAGAGAACTTGATAGGTGGAGCCAAGTGCAGGTGTTTGTATTGGTTTTTTATCTTGGTATTGCCTAAGGACCGACAGAACAGGGTCTCCATGTGCAAGATATTATGCACAGACAGTAGCACCTGAAACTACTACACTTCCCCCCCCTTCCCTAAATCAAAGGCATTTCAAGTTTACACAGGACTTGACTATGGAAAAAATCCCTCCTTGGAAAAGCACTTCATATAAGTGCTCCAATGCCTTCCCAAACTGGAACCAGTGTTCCTAAGGCTGGAAAATAGCTTTCCATACAAAAAAAAGATGAGTCAACACCCCACTATGGGAATCCCACATCGGGTGATGAAGTTTTCTCACTCACTCATGCACATCCACCCTTATATTTATTCACAGATAATTCCTTCTGAATTCAAAAGGGGTTATACAGGACAAGTCAAGGGCAGGCCTGGACTCTATCCAAATCCTGCCTCCTCTCCATCTCCAGATAGATTTAATATACACAGTTCGATCCCAAGCTTACTTCCTAGCAGGTCTGTCATTCTAGCACCCCCCCAAACCGCAGCCGCTTTCCCAGCGATGGCAAACACATTTGGTCACACATTTCCATCTCATTCTTGAAGAAGGAAAAAAGCCATCTCCCAAATCCCTCTCAAATGAGCTCCTTTTGGTTTCGCTGCAGACCGCTAAAGTCAGAGCGCATGCAAACACCAGGAAGGCAGATTTCAATAAAGGTGGATTTAATAAATTATTTCACGTCTTGAAATAAAGATTTCAAAACCTGACTCGACACAATTTTATCTCGCACTGTAAAAGGTAAAAATACAGCTTTTTTTTTCTTTTTTTTTTTTTTTAAGCGATGCAGCAATTTATGTGACTTCACCAAAGGTCCCCAACCCATGCAACAGCCAGACACCCCGGGGAGCACCAGGGGACACCCCCCCACCACAGCTGGCATTACAGAGCTCCCTCATGGCACACAGACCACACCAGTTCAGGTGATTCTTCCATTTCTTTGCAAGTCCAACTCCTCGCCATTTGCTTTAGTGTAACAACAGGATGACTATGGAAGCAGGACATCATTCAGTGCGTCTTTTATTGGCCAACACATCATACATGGCTTTCCCCAAATGAGCAAAGCACTGAAATGCCTGCTTAACTCCCCTTCAAATCATGGCGAAAACAGGTGGCCACATGTTTTCTTAAATTAGGAGCCTTAAATCAGCAATTTTTAATATGCATATATGTATTACGTATGCATACATGCTGCATATATAAACTAACGATGACAAAATGTTCATGCTTAAAAATCACGTCATACATTTGTTCAAAACTGAGTATGTCTGAAGACAACAGCTTCCCAAGAGGTCTAAACAAACACTCAGGGTGCAACATTGCCGGTTCTCCTCTTCACACTGAGGTTGTACGGCCTCTGTGATCTGTATTCTATTTCACACATTCACTAAAATCTTTCATTACCTTTTGGATTTAAGTTTGTATCCTGAGAATAGGTAATCTGGATGAAGATATCAGTAGCAAATGCCCAGGAAGTTACACATGCGTGGACAACAGGGGAAGACTATTAGTAATGTCACCAACAAAAGCAATCACAACACCTCAAGGAACAGTAAAGTCTCCTGGTCTTCCACGCCAGGAATAATAAACATCAGTATGCTCATTTTCATTTCCATGGACACTGGTTTGATCTGTCTTGTTCTTCTCTTTCATCCCCATGAAATATTAAACAACTGGCTCAGTCTCTAAGCAGTCTAGAACGACGCCACATTTTTGAGGAAAGCAAATAATAAAAGCATCTAGATGGTTTGGCACCATCAATGCACAAATAGCAGTACATGCCCTCATGTCAGTGTTCAAGGACATCAGGATCAGGATTGTACTAAAAATGCTTTTGGTATGTTGCAGAAAACAAGCAGAGGTTCCTCTCCAGAAAACTGTTAGATATATATCAACAAAATTACACTTACTGGAACTGAGTGTTTGTTTTGGACAAAGTGTCTTCAAAGGGTACAAGATTTGTGCCCAATCCTGCATTCCCCCCACGAGCACACGTACACTTCACGGAGGGGTGATGGCAGATAAGGAATCAAGCCTCTTGGACACTGAGCGGATGAAAATGGCTCAGAACATTAGCATAGCGTGATGGTGCTGCTGACTTTTCTAGCTTGGCTGGCAAGACAGCAAACAAAACAGAATAAAGGAAGAGCTATTTTCACAAGCAGGAGTACAAGATATTCTTTCTTTTAAAATTTTAGATTCGGATGAGCATAGCAAAAATTTGCAGGACTTCAGATATGCAGCCATTAATCATTTCACAAAAAACCCACCTTTATGGCTTTTGCTTTTGACTAGGAATATTGCAGAATGAGTTACTACTCTTCTTTACAAAGGCTATTTTTAGTAGATATACTTATTAAGCGGTATCAAATATTTAGAATCTCTAAGCCCCTCTTCTTCAGCTTTTATAACCAAGATGTTTCTGTTATTTAAAGCAACATGCAAAACCAATGATCCCTCTACTATGGAAAAAACAGTTTAGATAAAAAAATAATAATACAGCCTTCAACATATAGCCAAGACCTGAACCACAAACAAATGGAATGGAAAGAATCAGCAAAAAAGATATGTTTTCACTTGTTCCTCAATTCTGATGTCAGAGGGAAATTTACTTACAGATATGGAATGACGCTTGATTTATGGCGAGGGAACATTAAAAACCAATGGAAAAAACACACACATGAGAAAGCTTACAGAAAGACATCTAGAATTTTAAATCAAAGATGCTTCTAGAAACATTCACAGGCTTTTTGCTTAGCTTGGGTCAGACAATTTCGTGTTCTTGTAAAGAGAGATTCTTGAACTGAGACAAGAACGACCCAATTTGGAGCAAGCAGCTGTCAAACCTGTTTATTTCACAACCTTAAGTACATTTAGCAAGTCCTCATAACCCACAGTGGTTTCTGCTACGTAGCCAAGAGTTCATCTACTACTTACAGGTGGCCATTGCAGGTTTATTTTCTAAGCTAGGGGACTAATAGGCACAGCCTAGAAGGCAGGTTCTTCCTAGAGTCTGCAGCAACGATATCTGTGATCCAAAAAGCTAAGGGAACTCAGGAAAAGCAATTTTTTTTCCCCATCTTACAGGTTAGTGATCAAAAGCTGAGCAAAGAGAAAGAAGCATGACTGCAATGACACCAAGCGCTTCCGAGAGCCTCGGAATAAAGGAGCTTAAGAGATCAGTAGCTCCCAGATGAGCAGGGAGCTGGGCACGAAAATAAGATTTTTCCTTTTCACACCTCAGCTTCAGGAATTCAGAAATCCTTATTCAAGTTCCTGCAGAAGCAGCTGCCTATGTGGTCTGGGCCACCTCTTCCCTTTCCGCCAAATACAAGAGGGAGTTGGGAGAAGAAGATACCAATTGCTCCTTCCCTCTTCCTCTGTTCAGATTCTGTGAAGTCCTACCAATGGGGATTTTGC